GGGAGGGGGGCAAAAAAAATCAATAAAATATATTTTTTAAAAAAGTCACATGGAATAAAAGCTGCTTATCCATTAAAAAAAAAAAAAAAAAAAAAAAGGCACATTTCCCGGGTCATTTTTATTCTTGGGATTTCTGACTATCTGATATGGTCTTATTATTTCTGCCTCCAATATGAACACAGCCTCCACAAGAACAGGGACCTGCCCAGCTCTTTCTGGCTATCGCAACAAAACTCCAAGGGCACTAGCATGCAACAGTCAATGGCACAGACATCCCCAAAGTGCCAGGCTTGGTGGATAAGAGTCAATCAAGGGGGCAGTCTAGGCCCAAGAAATGCAGGGAACAGGAGACAGGAGACAAGGCAGAGCAGGCAGGTCAGGAGTGCAGGTGTGCAGACCTGGAGGTTAAGGGGAGCAGGAAAATGGGATCTTGGGGTATGGGGAAGCACATCCACCTCAGCCTGAGCTGGTGACAAGTCCAGAGCACAGCAAAGCAAGCAGAGGAGAAAGAGCAGGGTTAATAGGTGGGTGGATCACCCCACGTTTCCACTCCATTTACTGAGAGACACAAGTGGACCAAGCCTGTCCTGTTAGATAAGAGGTGACCACTGGGGATCAGAATGTGGGTCAGGCCATCGGAGAAAGAGATCAGCTCACCTCAGAAACAAAAACGGCATTGACTAGGGCGAGTGACACCGCTCATGACGCAGATCCACTGAAGTCATGGACAGGCATGGCCCTGCCTGCTGGGCTGGGGCACAGACACCGTGAAGCTGGCGTACAGAGGGCTCTGGCTCCAGCTCCTCTCAGAGCCACCCACGGAAATGCCAGCCACACCGAGAATGAATGCTCCCACTATTCCACAGGCTGCTGGGACATCTTTCAGTCACCACTTTTGAATCACTAAATCTCAAAAGTTCAAAAATCTCATTTCAAATCACCAAAAAAGAGAGGTACTATTTGAAAGTTCTGTGGATTGAGACCCCGTCAAACTTAACTGACAGCAGGCAGCACCTCATTGACACCTCAGACTGACCTGGCAGACAGGGAGTGACATCCCACTCCACAGTGGTTCCTGCCACCAGGGCCCCAGCCAACAGCTGCAATGGGGCAAAGCCAACTGGCTAGCTCCAAGCCCATACCCCAACCACTCAACTCTAGACTTGGTACCTCCTGAAGATGTCTTAGTGAATTGAAATGCAAAAATGAAGAGTCTGGAGGACACCAAATATATCCTGTAGGCAGAAAGACTGACCCCAGGACAGTCCAGAGCAGGGGTTGAGATTTTTGCCCAAGGATCAGACAGTAAGCATGTTAGGCTTTGCCATTTCAGTGGCAACAATTCAGCTCTGACACTGTAGCTCAAAAGCAGATTGAGAGTGCAGCAAAAAGGGTCGTGCTGAGTTCCTAGACGCTACCCATGTCTTAGACCAAAGATTCTCAACCAGTATGCTGGAAGAATTCTTAAAACATGCAGTACCTGACTACTTGGTTAGGATACTGGCCTCTTTCCCCTTAGATAGTCAAATAAAAAATGACACCAGCCAACTCGATAAGAATGAATCAACATTATCCCCCCCCCTTTTTTTTTTGTCGGATGGGCAAAAAATGATTTTTTTAGTGTGCCACTGAATTTAGTAATTAATTTATGTGTTGCCATGAGATAAAAAAGGTTGAAAATGCTGCCTTAGACTATGGGAGTCCTGAGGAATTATTTAGTCAAGAACAAACCAAACCAGATGAGTATTTTAGAATGAACTATGGTCACTACTGAAGGATGGAGTGAGCATGTTTTACATGCTATGTGAAATAAAAACTGGTTTTCAGTTATTTCAAATAAATGGGAGAGATTGTGTTTCAATAAAATCTTAATTGCACAACAGGCAGAGGTCTGAATTTGACCCAAACTCTGCTGCTCTGGGATCTCAAGTCAGGGATTCTAATAAATCAATAATAATCTGGTATCAGATACTACTGTTTTTTAAAGAACAAAAACCAGTTATCCACTTGAGAACTCCCAGAAAAGAAGCTGGCAGACAGTGTTTGCTGTTCCCACCCTAAGTGCAGCAGTTCTCGAAGGTGGGTGAGGGCACTTTGTCCCCCTATATCTGGAGATCTTTTCTTACTGTCACAACTGGGGAGGTGCTATTAGTGTCCAGTGAGTAGAGACACCAGGGATGATACTAAACATCCCATAATGCACAAACAGCCCCCCACAACAAAAATTTATACAGCCCAAATGTCACTGATGCTGAAGAAAGAAACCTTGACTTAGGATCTCACCACGTGATGATCCCAATGCCTCAAGCACACAAGCACAATCCAATTAAATTACAGAAACTCAGCTCCAAAGACCATTTGATTGACATGTCAAACTGATTAGATGATAGAAAACAGCAGTGTGAGTTAAGACTTGCTTATGGCACCTTTGTGGTTGTTTTTTTGTGGGTTTTGGGGGGGGGGGGGGGAGAATTACTTTGCTAAGGGTCATCTAAAAAGGAAGGAAGAAAACAATAATTTCTAAAGTTTCTTTGAGCTCCAAAGTCCTATGATTATAAGTATATAAGGTGGCGGAAATTCTAACAGACTACTTGGGGAGGGGGGCGGGGGGAGGGTTGGTAACTTTCTTTAAAAAACAAAAAAGAACAGTAACATCTCTGGGAGGCTGAAAATCTGAGACCAGATCACTGTCCTTTTGACCAGCGGTTGCCAACCTTTCAGACCTCACAGACCACCGGTGTGACCACTGCTTTAGAGTGTAGCAGAAACCTACCCTGTGAAATATTTAGCAGGGCACAAGAAACAAAAACTGGAGAAACTGAAAGCCTATATTTACCATTCATGTGCTTCCTCCTTCCCATGGAAAACATTTGAAAGACTGAGTTAAACAGAAGAAGGAAATTACTACCGACTACTCGCCTTTCCTCCAACATAGAATACACTGAACCAGAAACTTGAAAACAGCATGTGTTTTACTTGTTATATACTGATTACACACTGGTAGTACCAATGGTGACAATCTGCTTTATTTATTTCCTTCTTCTGTTTAACTCAGTCTTTCAAGGCAGATCAGAGATTGCTGTCCTCCAGCTGCCAGCAGCTGGCCCTGGCCCTGCTCCCACAACTCCCACTGCTTGCCATTGGGGCAGTGCTGTCCCTCCTCCCCAGCCACCAGTTGCTTCCCTTTGTGGGTGACAGGTGTGGGTGCGGTTCCTTGGCTGGCCTGGGCCTCCCTCTGCAGGGTGATGGTGGGGACCTCTAACCAATTGTCTCCCCCACCCTCTTGGCTGGCCTGGCACCAGTGCGTGTCTTAGCGCAGTCGTCCAGACGGTCGTTCTACTTGTTCAGTCGTTTGGTCGATTTGCATGTTATGCTTTTATTATTATAGATTATTATACTGTTTTCCATATGAAGAACTATAAACCTACTTTTGCCTCACCCTGTATTATAAAAGATCAAAGTCAACAAGTAATTTAAAAATGCACCCTCTAAAAACAACCTTGTTATTTTTCAACATAGGCTTTCAAATGGAGTCTCCTTTTATTATTTCTGATCCATTAGATCAGAAAAAGTGGTATTTTATGTAGACATATTAAGAGCCAAGGCCTAATCTTAAAGCAGACAGTGTGATCAAATAGTAGACACTAAAAAAGAAATCTCCACATTTTGTTAAAAGCAACCATTTACTCCTTACAAAAAAAAAAAAGTATGTATATATATATATATATATATATGTGTGTATATATATATATATATATATATATATATATATGCAATAGTAAAAGCTAACCAAATTTTCTGGATCCTTAAAAACAAACAAACATATATATATATAGCTGAACATGATTTTCTGTGTTTGAACCCAACTTCTGCCTACTGCTGTACATTTCCAGGAATCACATGATTGGGTCCCAAGATGGAATACCAACCTTTTCCAATCCCATCTCCTAAATCATTTACATTTTACCTCAGGGTCTTAAACTCTGAGGCCACCGAAGTCTCCATCCAATGACTAGACTTGTCACTGAACAATGTGTCAACCCAAGGAAGTGGCTTCTCTGAAACACAATGATCCAAATTTCACTTGCAAATTTTGCTTTGTATTCATGCTTTTGTAAGTACTTTGTTTCTCTATATATCTGTATATACTGTATTTTTTTATTTGCATATGCAAAGTATCAGAAAGATCTGCAATGAAATGTTAATTGCGCTTATTTCCTAGCATAGATTTAGGTGATTTTATTTTTCTTACTATATTTTTGCTGGTCTCAACTTTCAACTTTTTCTTTTTATATTAAGTGAAACTTTTGGCCAAAGAAAAATAAGTTAAATTCTATATGTGTTTTTTGTTTTTACTCAACCTCATTCAAAAAGGATTTACAGTATCTACAAAAAAAAAAAAAAAAAAAAAAAAAAAAAAAAGTACAAAAAGAGTTCTTTTCAAGCAGGGCACTTAGTGACAAGGGCAAGAAACAAGAGCAATAATCTCCGAAGAAGCCAAAGGTTAAAGCTATTAGCCGCAGGCGGCCTTAATGTCCTGTGTACTGGCCAAGGGAGGCACACAGGGTTCTGTGTTTCTTGGCATCTATGGCCCACTCCTCCCCAGCCTCCTTACCTCAACCCACCAGTTCTAATTAAGTTTTGTTTAGGGAAAGATAATGAGAATACTTTTCTACGTTTCCTAAACATACTCCCAGATGAGATCATGCAATCCAGAAATGTGTTGAGAGAGGAGGAGCTGGCTGCAAACACAAGCAGTAAAATGCAACTGCCTGCCCCACTGCTCCCAGGGCTGAGTGTCTGTGTCTACCAGAGCCGAGACACCCCCAAAGGACACTGCTTACACTTTCTAAAAGTGCCCCTCTGTGAGCAATTCACTGCCACTAAGGCAAAGGCAAGGGGCACACTCACTCCATGACAAGACCAAGTCTGAGAGCCTCTGGGGTCCTTTGCAAGCAAAACCATGCTGGGTGGAGCAGCCCCCAAGGTGTAGCACTTACCATAAGCAGTCATGACCCCAGCATACGGCCCATCCACAACGTTCTTGTTTTCCTCCGCCAGAGCCTTGATGTACCTCTTGCTGAGGTCCAGGATCTGCTCACGCAGCATGGAACTGCTCTCGGGCTGAGTCCGCTGCTGGATGGTAAAGTGCAGGAGCATCATACCCCAAATAAAGCCAAAAGTCACGAGGAAAAAGCCCAGCTTCTGCGAGGACAACTTCCAAGGAGTGAAGAGAGCCATTGCTCTCCAGCGACTTCACCTGCTGCTGGCTCTTAAAGCGCAGAAGGGAAGACCGGGCTCATGGTGGGCTCGGCCTTCTCACTCCGGCTCCTGTGTCTGCCGATTTCCTCTCCTCTCTTCCATCCTGCTGTGGAGGAGGAGAAAAGTTAGCTCAGAGGTCATGGCAAAACCTGGTAAAACAAACCAGAGCCCTGTTTTCACTCAAATTAACTCTAAAATGCGAACTTCCTTTTTCTTAGTTTACCGGTTCCGCATGGTATCTTCTGTTATGGAACTTGATCTGCAAGCTAAGAGGGAAATCTGGCGAGGCAACAAAAAGCTGTACAAATACGGAGGAGGAAACAGGCGTCTGAGTGTGTTAACAGGTGTAGCAGGGCTGTCCCCAGTCTGGATCAAGTTCAAAACAGGAAATCTGTTGTGCAAGGTGGGGAGGAGTGGAAGAATATTTCACTGAATGTCAGCAGAAACCCAAGTGGAGGGTGGAGTCCTATCACTGCCCAGCACTTTTGTGCATATGTAAGGTGAGCTGACAAAGTCATTGTTGTATGCTCTGGAGGGGATCAGAGCATGCAGCTGGAGAGGTGAGCAAGAAAGTGGATGCCCCTCAGGGGTAATGGACAGGGAGGGGAAAGAGCCCCCTCATTACTTAGGCATCTTTCACTAGCAGTGTCCAGCGATGAGCTGCCTCTCTCGGGGCCACCAGGTGGCCTCTCGTAGGCACCAGCGCACAGGCTATGCTGGGGTGACACCCTGCTGTCTTTTCGTTCTAGGTATCATGAGTGAAAGCTGCACGCACTTCTCACTCCCACACTTCAGCACAGGAAGTGTGGCGCGCGGGACAGCCTGCTTTCCTGTGGCTGTTTCATTCACATCTGGCAAAATGAGGTTAAAGGGTATAGTTCCCTTTGCTCATCACATAGTGAGGAATACAAAGGTTAAATCAGTGTGCTGTACACATGAAACAAACATATGACTGTATGTCCACTGTATTTTAATTTACAAAAAAAATAAAAGTATAATTTCAACACTAATGCAACCAGATCCTATTTGGTATCCAAACAGTCTGGTCAATATCCTAAATCAGTGTTTCCCAAACTTCTCTCATGATGAGAATCACCTGGTGGAGTTGTTAAAATAAAATTTTGGGGAACATATAGGTAAAATTGTATACTTAATTAGTGCTCTAAGTATACAATTTTACCTATATGTTCCCAAAAATTCCAGTTTAGCACTTCTTAGTTGGGATTCAGGAATCTGTATTTTAACAACTCCACCAGGTGATTCTCATCATGCAAGAAGTTTGAGAAACACTGTCCTAAATCAAAGCTTCACAGCAAATGGGGCTGAAGTGCAGCTGCAAATGAGTTACAGGAGTTAAAGATAGGCTAAGATACCCACCCACTTTGGCCACAGTCCTGGGCCCAAGAACCAGCCAGCTTATGATTGACACCATTTTCTAAGTATGCCCAAAGGAAGGCTGAGCAAGAGTTTCCTGTGGGACTCACCCTGCATGTATTCAGCTCAAAGGATTCTGTTTCTTAAACAGCCAAAGGAGAAACTATAACAAAGCCTTGGCCCTATTCGCTTTCAGAGTCTGCAATGTTGATCTTCCTGTCCCTATCTTTCCCTCGCCTATCAACGGTCATCAGCAGTGGTCAGTACCACTACTAATACTAGTATTAAATAATCAATAAATTCTAGGTATGTCCTATGCATCATGGTAAAATTTTTGTGTGCCTTTTCTCATTGAACTCTTAAAGAGCCCCATATATAAGGATTGTTAATATTACTATGTCTGTTTCAGAGAAGAAAATACAAAGGCACAGGGAGGTACAATTGGCAGAGGTCAGCCAGCTGTGCAGCAGAGGATGGATCATGCAGGGAGCTGCAGAGGTAGTAAACCAGACCCTGCCCCCCTATCCGTCACCCCCACTCTCCCACCAGCCCATTCATCAACAGCCCAGATGGCTTATACTTGCTAAAAGGGTTGTGAAAAGTGACTAAGAAGATGTGACAGAAATCCTATGTAGCTCAAAGGCCTAAAATATTTATGATTGGCACTTAACAGAAAACTCTAGGCCAGTGGTTTTCAAAGTGGGATCTCTAACTCAGTAACAAGAGCAAAGTAAGAGAAATGCAAATCTCAGGCCCACTGCAGACCTCCCGAGTCAGTAACACTGGGGGCAGGCAAAGGGAGACAGCAGCCTGTGCTTCAACAGTCTGTAGGATGGCTCTACTGCTGCTCAAATTCAAGAGGCCCCTGATGTGGGCCTCATTGCCACACCACCACATTGCCAACACCAGGTGGCCTCAATTCCATTGACACTACTGGATCACTGCTGTCAGTTCCTCCATGCCATCGAACTCTCTGCACTGCTGGTCTGCCATCACCACAGCCCTGCAGATGAGCACAGGCTCTCCCACTGACCTGCTCCCCCACCTGCTGGCCTTGCCCCATCACACTGACAATCCAGACTTCCCCATTCCTGCAGCCCCACCAGCACCTGACCACCTTCTCCACTGCACCAGCCTAGGAGGCTTCCTCCTGGTCTGCAGACTTAGGACACTGTCTGCCGGCCTTGGCTGTTCCTGTGTGCGACCCCAGAGGGACCTCTAAGGGACTCCCTGCATACTTTCTCAGGGAAACAAGAAAATAGCTGGTGACTAATTAAAGAGTCATCTGGGCACCGTGCCCTTGATTCTGCCCTTCCAAGTGCACACCAGCTGGACAGCACCTGCTATGGCTGCTTCCTACATCAGTTCCACAAGCAGAGGCTGAGCTTTGCAACCAGGCCCTGGGGACTGATCAGTGAATGGAACAGGGTTCCTGCCCTCGAGGGGCTGATGTCTAGAAGCCATTCCGCTGACTGGGTGCTGCCCCAGGTCCTCAGGAAGTGGCAACACTTTCTTCGTGATAACCCAGGCCTGTGAGTAGATTTCATGTCAGGGCTGCAGGGATTTCCCCAGAAAGTGCAGGAGGTCGTCTACCAAGAAAAACAGTCTGGGTGCCCTACCAAGAAACCCAGATGCTAACAGGAATTACCTGTCCCCATTCAGACAGAAAGTCACTCTGCTTCCTCCATTAATCTCCTGAGGACACTGCTCAAAGTTGCAGAGTGTAAGCAAAGGAAAGGCCAGGGCCAAAAGCATCACTGCCTTGGCCTCGGGGCGAGTCAGAATCACCAGGAGTGCACTGAGTGGGCAAATACCTAGCCAAGATCAAATGATTCCAGCTCAGTCATACAAATTTGAAGTGAAAATCCCTAACTCGGACTTTAGAGTGCAGTTCTGGATATTGTGGGTTCAGACTATAAATGACTATAGAAAGACCAGAAATATTCTTTTTTTTCCGGTGGAATCTATAGCTTGAAATAACTGCAACTTTGTCAGCACACAAACAGCACACACAGAGACTTAGAATTCATTTACACAATTCCTTTTGAAATGATTGAATTTTTAAGACTTTGCAAAAACCATTATTTGAGAGGCTCCCCTACCATCTATAGTAATAGGAGGCTGCAGTCCTTACCAGAGGGTCATGGTGTCATGCAAAGACCTAATGATGATCATCAGTAATGACCACACAATTAATCAAGAGGCTACAGAACAACAATGATTAAAAAGTGGTCTATCGGGCCAAGAATCTGCCTGCTACTGGCCTTCCAATAGCTAGAGCCTCCAGCCAACTGGACGTGACAGGCACAGAGAGGACAAGACGTGTATCTCTGAAGCCTTGTTGCCAATCCGAGCGATGACAGCCCAAGGCCAGGACTTTGTCCATTCTCCTCTAGAAAGAAGTTTGCAGCAAGTCTGTTCACAGAGTCAAGCTGCCAGATCAGTCGCTGCCACTAACCACCCTCACACATTTCCTCTATTCCTGCGCTTCCTGAAAGAGCAATGTTCACTTCCTTTCCCCATTGACTCCTCAGCACAATATCTGGCTCCACCTTCCCAAACATGGTCAAAGATCTTTGGCAAGGAAATGTGTCAGTTCTCTTCATTCAAAAAATAAAGGCACATGTAAAACTGCTCAACTTCAATAGTCATTAGAGAAATGCAAGCAAAACCACAACGATATGCCAGTTCACACTCATTAGAATGGCTGTCATTGAAAAAGACATAAGAACAAATGTTGAGGATGTTGGTGGGGATGGATAGGGTGCAGCTGGTGTGCACAGTCATTTGGCAGTTACTCAAATGGCTAAGCCCACAGTTCCCATGTTGCCCAGACAACTCTGCTCCTAGGAATTCTCCCATGAACAATGGAGACATATGTCCATAGTAAAATCTATCCACTAACGTTTATGGAAGCACTATTCATAATAGATTTAAAGAAAAAAATGAAATACCCAAATGTCCATCAACTGGCAAATGGATAAGCAAAATGTGGTATAGTCATACAATAGAATCTATCCTATCTAATAATAAAGAGGATATATGCTAATTGACCATCACACCCTCACAAAGATGGTGGCATCCACAGCCAAAAAAGAGGGAATATGCTAATTAACTGTGATGCCCTCAAAGATGGTGGTGGCCACAGCCACAGATGGTGGCGCCCAGTTCCCTCAGTACTGCTGGGGGCAGAAGGCATGTGGCATAGTCAGGCCCACTCCCAGGTAGGTCTGGCCACTCAACGTACCTACTTCTAGAGTACCCCAGTCCCCTCAGCCCCTCAGCTACCCAGGGCCAGTCCAAGGTGTAGGCTATGGTATATAAGACTCTCAGTGGCCTGTCCTCTGCCTGCTTGAAATAACTGCAACTTAGGGATGTTGGCTCCCCAGCTGCCTAGGGCTGGCTCAGGGCGAAGGCAAGTCTCAGATGTCAGCTGCCAGCTGCCCAGGGCCACCTGAGACTCAGGTAACCAGGGCCAGCTAAGGCTTGCACTACTGGCAGTGGCAGCAGCGGAAGTATGATGGGGGCATCACCTTCCCTTGATCACTGGGTCGCCTCCCACCCCCGAGGGCTCCTGAATTATGAAAGGGGGCAGGCTGGGCTAAGGGCAGGCCTCTAGTGTGTGTGTGTGTGTGTGTGTGTGTGTGTGTGTGTGTGGTGTGTGTGTATAGTAATACACAAATTAGGCCAGGATGCCGTAACAGTAACAACTGGTCAGGATGAGGCTGTGCA